CTTCATTTCTATGCCCCATTGTTTTCCCTTACAAAACATATTTTAAATATGAAATATTGAATGTTCATAGCTTCTTGATATTGTGTTTTAGTCATTGTATGTTGGAGGCAAAGGGCATGGTTTTATATATAGAATCCACACCAAATGTAATGATTTTGTAATTATATTTCACTGCACAGATGCCTTAAGAAATGTACTTTCTTTCAGACACAGAATTTACTGAGGGAGCGTGAGTAGCAACTTTCCTTCAAGACTGCCACATCCCTAGAAATTGATATAAAGGCCTTAACTTGGTGGGAACAGTTGCAAAAAGCATCTCCTCACTATATCTTCCTAGAGGTTTAATGTGGTGTACCACCACCTAATAAGTCTGGCCCTCCCATTAAGTCAAAAGAAGGCAGAAATGCTGGGAGGCAGAAGGAAACTATTATAGGATGCCATGCAATCCACCTATATCCCTTAGCTTCCTGATTATTAGTAGATAACTATTTTATTATCTATTGTGATGAATAGCTCAGTTTGCCAATCTAACTAGCCTTTGTAGCCAGAATGGGAACATCATCCTGTCGTTTGCCTTAAACATCAAAATCTCCTGGATACAGTAGGCAGTCTGGTGTACTCTTGATGTTTAGGATTTTAGTTTCTGTCAGTGTGCTCAGTAATTAGGAAGTAGGCCCTAAACCCAGAAGGCATCAGGTTGCTTGCCTACATGTTGTATCAGCCCAATGCCAGTTTCAAGTTTGAAAGGGTTGATGAAAAGCAGATGCATTCCTGGTGTCCTTGCACTTATATGTCTGTCTCAGGGATTCCCAGACTCTGAGTTCAAATTCTTTGGGGTGGGGTGGGGTGGATATTGGCAAAATGGAAAGGAGTTCCAACTTTCCAGTTTGTTTAAACAAACTGACAACTGCTGGCAAAGTGGGAGGGATAATATGAAATGTGGTGTGGCAGGCCTCCTAGAATGGGAGGAACATGGAAGTAGTATTGCAGCTTCCACTCTACCCAAGCAAAATCAACCCCACCCGGCCCTTGGGAAGCCATGACTGATCTTGAGTCTGCACTCCATTTAGCATAAATAAGAGGAATCCATACACTATGCTGGTTGGAAGCAATGACACAGAGAAGGGAAGACTTTCAGCAGTTGTTCAGGAGCAAGACATAGACCATTTGAAAGGAGAAGGTAGGGGTATCAGGAACGCTTGTGATCCTAACCTGCAATAGGGCTACCAAGAAGATAGCTAGGCAAGCCCACATCTGGAACACAAAGGAAGGCCAAGGATTTTTGGAAGGGTGGAAGGAAGGAAACAGTGAGGGTGCTGGTTCTATAAATTGAGCCAAGAAAGGAGTGTGATACAGGCTGGAGAAGCTTCTTTGTCTTAAATGGAAGACTGGCTGAGATCCCAGGAGAAGCCTCAAACAAAAGGTTTTGGCTTTGACAAAAAAAGCCATACAGTGTCTCTGCCCAGAACGTTTCCCTGAGCAGAGGGAAGAAGGAACTCATTTGATGCTAAACTGTGAGCAGCTACACTCACTGGTATGAAGAAGAAACTCTTAAGTTTAAAACAGGAAGATTGCACATATCTATGTATCATTTTAGGGGATCACAGCGCTGTAAAGCTTGGAAAACCCCGACTTATGGTTATGAACTGCAGGCCACATTTTCCATAGTGCCACAAAAATAATGCCCATTGGATATTCTAGGACAGTGAGAAACAAAAATGACATCTTAGTGTTCTAGTGTGTGAGTATTGGATAGTTGTGGTGTCTATTGTCATCATGGATAGGTCCCCACAATTTTTCAATATGGCAAGGAACAGAAAGAAGATCAAACTCCAAAATTCCAAATTCATGTGTGACACAAGCAGAAATCAATGGCTACTAAAATGTTTAGAACTAACTTAACGGCACCATCACTAAGGTAAAGATGTTTGTGAGAAGAAAAAGCCAAGAGAGCTCCAAGACAACCTCCTTAGTGTTTCATGAGACATGTTCTCATAACAGTCTCCATAGAAGGGTGAGGCTGACCAAAATGAAATTGAGCTGATCTAGAAGGGATGTCGCATTTGCTATCAGAAAATGAAAGAAAACCTTCTATGTGAACAAAGTGCCTAAAATAACATCCCATGAACAGCGATGTGTGGAATATGTGTCTTTATATTTGTGTTGTATATATTAATTGTAAATGTATTATGGGAAGAACTAACATTCAAATAGAAGATAGTCAAGTCAGAATATATTTGAACTATCAGTTTAATTTGTATTGCTTGAAATTTCACTTTGGATGTCCTAATTGATTTGAGTGAGATTTCTGAGATAGATCATCATATTAAGTTAATAGATTCCAAAAGTTGGTTGGGGGAAAGGAAGCAAATATGTACATGTGCAAGAAGACACAGCTCATCAGATTCAGGAGCATCCAATAGTAAGTGGGAAAGTGGATTTGAATCAAATCTTCAAAGTTCAAACTCTCCTGATAGATGATTGTGCAGCTAGCTAGCATATGATTGTTCAGCAAGTCAGACTATCTTCCTCACATCACTACATTAGTGTTTTCACATATGGCAACTTTTTTCTGTTCCCTCCTTCCGTTTAGCTTTCCAGCCAGGCCAGGCCAGCATTGGTTTTGATCTATTGAAGTGGGGAGGGAGCAGGTTGTCCATCATCAAAGGAATCTCAGTTCCCCTGTTGGGCAAATGCTTGCCCACATACTGCTTGAGGGGAAGACAGAACCGTCTCAGCACACATCAAGGGAGCTCTGGAGGCAGAGATGAGGTGCAGATGCATCCTGGCCTTCTTCGTTCTTCTGTTTGATGCCATGGCACAGAGACTGTTTTCAGATCTTTGTGTCAAATAAAATACCATGGAGCTATTCCTTTCATCTTTCTGCCTCAGCCTAAAATAGCAGGTTCTTCATTCAAGCTTCTCGTTAGATGGTATGCATATCTTAATATCCCTGCTGAGACAGCTTCAAGACCTAGTTCCGGTAGGGTGAAAGATATATGAAGTCTTACTTCTTGGAAATGAAAGCTTGAAAGTTACTTCTATAATACATTGCACATATTCATGACCATACATAGTAAAACATGCTATGATACTTTATAATTTTTTGCATGTCATAATGTAGGTGTTCTCAATTTACAACCATAATGAAGCCTGCCCATAAAGTGGGTCAACACATAACCAGGCATGTTTTATGAGCAGTTTTGGGTGGGTTATGGTGAGATGGGTTGGGAGAAAGGCTGTACAGGTAGTCTTCAACCTATAACCACAATTGAGCCTAAAATTTATGTTGCTAAGTGAGAAATTTGTTAAGTGAATTTTACCCCATTTTATGATTTTTCTTGCCACATTTGTTAAGTGAATCACTGCAGTTGTTAAGTTAGTAACACGGATGTTAAGGGAATCTGGTTTCCTGATTGATTTTGCTAGTCAGAAGATCACAAAAGGTTATCACGTGACCCTGGGACACTGCAACTGTTATAAATGTGAGTCAGTTGTCAAGCATCCGAATGTAAATCACATGACCATGGGGATGCTGCAACTGTCGTGTGAAAAATAGTCATAAGTCACTTTTTTCAGTGCCGTTGTAACTTCAAATGGTCACTAAATGAACTGTTGTAAATCAAGGACTACCTATATATCATATTTTAACAGAAGAGTTGGATTACACTCTGCCTTCTCCCAGGCCTCAAAAGGCCCAATAATTCAATCAACAGAGTTTTATCTCTAAAATATATTCTGTTCAGGTCCTACCAATTGCAGCCTACTCTCATTTCACATCATTTCAAACCATAGATTTGTATATACAATACGCATGGCATAGAAAAAAACCTTTCCTTCCACAACCCATATAAACTTACTCCTCAACCCCCTTCCAGAAAGGTAGAGGGATTAAAGTTTTGGACTACGACTTTTAGCAGGAAGAAGGAAACTAAAATATTTTACTTATATAGATTAAGTTACTTAAGTTACTTTACTTATATAGAAAAGTAACATTCTCTGCAGAACTCCAGGTCAAAATTCCCGTTTGCATTGAGTGTTGTTTATTATCTGCTAAAAATTAACTGAATCTAGCCTGTCAAATATCACACTTTGAAAATTGCTTTGAGATTTCTTTTTACAGGATGTAGTATTCAAATATTTTAAATAAATAGATCTATCTGTCTGTCTGTCTATCTGTCTTGGTTTTTCTTAATTCCAGAAATATGTTGTAATGAATACAGTCACATTCTTGAGAGGCTGGAAAATATTCTCATGAACCAATTCTGAGATTTTGCTATCAGTTCATTCTACATATTAGAGAAAGAATTGTTTTGGTCACAGTGCATCAAGGTCTTTACTTGTTGCTACATAGGGAACTATTTTAAATTCTTTTTTTTTAATAATTGCATTTGTTTATGGTAACAAGCAGGCCTGCTCCTGGTAAAAGAGATCAGGGAGCAGATGGGAAGCCTCAATCCCTTCAGGTGCTTTTACTACTAAATGTGTGCACTTAGCATCTGTTGCCATTTGCTAGAGTTTTTTAAATATGAAATGTCAGAAAGGGAGTTCTAAAGAGCCAGGCTTCAACTGGATGTAGCCTGCAACCTACATGAAAAGGAAGCCTGCCATTCACAGTGGGTCTAGGACAACTCGCTGCTGCCATCTCGCCACAGCCAGTGTGCCACGGGACAACTTGTTGTGGACAGTTCCACACAGGATAACTCAATGCAATAAATGTTATCCACCACTGTTATTTTTGACATTAATTCCATTTTTGTCAATGGTGGATAACACTTATTGCATTGAGTTGTTTTGTGTGGAATTGTCTGCAGCAAGTTGTCCTGGGGAAGATGTCTGTGGCAAGATGGCCGCGTAGAGTTGGCTGCAACGAGTTGTCCCATTCCGTTCACGGCTGCCTGCATCATCAGCCAAGTTTCTCCTTGACAAACTTCTGTTGAGGTCTGACTATGGCTGAAAAAAAACAAAACAAACAAATTTAACAAAAACCACAAAAGGCATTTCTTCTCAAAGCTTTATTTTAATGCAAAATAAAACTGTCCAAAATCTATATGGCATCCAGTATCTCTATATATAACAAAGCAAAACAGCTCAAACTTAATTTTGTTACATTCAAATTAATGATGTCTCAAATTTCTTCCTCCCCCCCAATAATTTCCCCAAACTTTTAACGTTTCAGCTCACACAAATATAGATTTGTTCTTTAAAAAAATCTAAATATTAAAAAAAGGTCACCCAGTGTGCAAACCAGAGCAATTCCCATGATAGCTCCCCCACTGATGCCTGTAGAATTGCACCCAAAATAAACTTGAAATGGATGGCTTGTATACTGAGGGTCAAAACAAGCAGCATTCAAGTGCACAAATCATCTTCCCAGGTTTTCTGAACAAGGGCCTGATCTGGGAAGGCATGAGCTGCTCCCATAAGAGATAAGTGAATTTACAGAACACAAAATACACAAAAGAATGGTTTTCGCTCTAGGCATAACTAGGCAGGATGTGAAACTGTTTCTGGCTCTGGACTTTAGCTGGGATAAGGAGTTTGGGGATACATTTGGAGAAGGGTGCTTTCCTAAAACTAATATTGCTCAGCCACCATTTTCATTCAGGTAATCAGAGCTTGTTCATTCTTTTGGGATTCTACAGGTGGTCACATCCAATTCAGGCTTTTTAAAAATGTCACCAATAATTTGATAGACAGTACAGTGGTTTTTCTAGTTACTTTAGAAGATTCTGATCAATCTTCTGTGCCTTGCTTGCCCAATATTCAGGTTTGGTTGACCACTGTTAGCAGTTTTTCATCCCTACTACAGTATATGATTATCAATTGAATGTTTCCCTCTTGGGTGTATCAACTGTTCAGAACAAAGTTTGTTTGTAGAATCATTCTTTAGCCAGTTTTTAAAGAAAGCACCAATAAGGAGCACATTCCTTAGCCTTTTTTTTTTGGGTTAAGCTGGAAATGGCTGAAAATAAATAGTGTTGAGTAGATGCAGATTAAAACTATTGCAATGCACACCTCTGGATTACTAATTCTTCTTATCAGAAAACAGAAAATGAGCCAAGGCACTTGTATAAAATCTGGGATTGCTTTCCTGCTTTATTAAGACAATTTCTCCTCCATCCTCTTCCTCCTTTTCCAGGAAAACGAAATTGAAACAAGGGCATAGAAGGTTTCATTTGATTTTTTGCCTAGAAAGGGATCCACACTCCCAAAGCCATTTTACAAGTGGTTCCTGCTGGACTGGTATGTTTTTAAAGCAAATTAATGCAAAGTATATCAGAATATAAATGGATTTTTGCTGGTCAATAATATTTTTATTTATTTATTTAGATAATTGATATGGCTGCCCAAACATATGCCTGCAAAGGGAAAGAGAGCAGCTATTTTCTTAATGGCTGATGCTGGTTTTTGCAAGGATTATATTGTCATCCATCAGCTGTAGCACCTTGTGATGTAAGTGTGTGCTACACATTTTTCTGCAATATGGTGTTGAGAAAGTTTCCATCATGTTCTTTCAGAGAAGCAACCGTTCTCTGATGAAGATGTACCTCTTGAAATCAATTAACACATCCACCTGTTTTTCCCAAGTCAGAATCCTGGCTTTCTGGACTCAGGAGGATGGCATGTAATTCTTTTGCACTTTTTCTCACACTCAACCCAAGAATTTTTATTTTTCTTGCACCTGCACAAAACACCTCTATAGTGTTGTGCTGCATCTATTATTTTGTAACAGGGAATAAATTCCCTTACTGATCTAAAAAAGAGACACTGTTTAATAAGCTACTGGTTAAGATTAACAGCCCGGAAAATCTACTTTTGACCTGCCTGACTTGCTCTATCCAACTGGGCCATTGCAGTCAATGGGAGTTTTCAGATGGGAATTGCAGCTGCGCAGCAACAATTGAGCACCATCCTCAAAACATAAATAACCTAGGCAGACTCTTTTCATCCAGTTTGGATTTACCCTCGCTTTGTTCCTGAAATGCTGTCAGTTATCTTTGTAAAGGGTAGGGTAAGGTTTAGTGGCATTGATTTATAAGGTGGGAGTTTGTCTTTCAAGGCTACTCTTAATTATAGTCAGGCTTGAGAAAGCCACTATCACCAACATTTGTTGTTGCTACCCAAGGAGCCCTTTACATTATAAGTCATGATCATTAAAAAAAGAAAAGCATATTAAAATAGTTTCACTTCACTTCTGACTGTTTGTCTGCATCTACTGCATTCCTGCCAGATTTTTATTCATTTAAGAATATGGATTTTTTAAACATAAATTGAAGGCTTTATACCTGAATCAGAAGCACAGGCCCAATCCTTGAAGAAGAAAGAAAATCTGTTTCAACTTTGGAATGGCTACTCCAAAATCTAAAGTTCTTGAATATTCCTACTCAAATAGATGTCCACATCTGTTCTGTGCACAGCAATTAAGGAAAACATAAACTGAATTTAGTTCACAGAACTTTACTCACAGATTAAATCAGATAACCAACATCACTTCTGGATTATGTTGAGGCTTCTTTAAAACCAAGGAGATTATAAAAAGGAAGCATTGGCAATTCCAAACAGAGAAGAGTTGAGTTTGGATGTGTTTCTTGTTGCACATAAGCTATAAATATGCTAAATACTTGACATGATTCACAAAGGTGAAAACTTTTGTATGTATGCATGTATATGTATGTACATATACATGCATACCGGTACATATATACATACATACATGTATGCTACACACATCAAGGAAATCCATCTATTGTGGGGTGACAAATTAGCCAGAAAAATAAAATCTGATATAAAAAGAAATTGTCTGCCTGAATCATATGTATGTGCAAAGTCACTATATACTGGTGTTCACAATATGCAATTTTCCATCCTCCCTGTAATAGTTCAACTCAATATGGATTTCTTAAAATGTCGCCTTAACAAAAGTAAGTAAGTCATCAATTTCAGACGTGATTACATAGAGGTGGGTAGGAAAATTAACTGTTTGCTTAAAATGGCATGAACAAGATTTGTTCATTTATATAAATAGATTTTTCAACGGAAGGATCAATGTAGTCTTGCAATTCCTTGCAATTAATTCTTGATTAATCATTCAGGGCCAGTTGAAATTAAATTCATCCACTGGAAATAGATAATTGGCCTTTGAATGGCCATAAAGCTCTGCATTTTAGGGGGAAAATTAACACATAGGTGTGGGTGCATATGTAAGTGTGCTATGTGCATTAAAAATAACTTATTGGTGACATTCCCCTATTAAAATGAACATACTTGCTATTTCTCATCACTGGAGGCTTTCCATTTAGCCCCATGTTCTCATATATTTAACAGATAGTTTTGGAAAAAGGCTATGACCTTTAACCTTGATTCAAAATCTCTATAGTACCTCATAGTTTCTGAATATGAATGCATATGAAATCAGGGCTACATTCACACCAAGCTGCTGACTCTTTCAGGGACACTAGAGAAACTGACCCTCTAAAATATAGTAATACAAATTTGTGTACATAATGAATTCTCTATAAGCCAAATCTCTTGAGGGTACCTGGTGGAATGAAGCCATTTCAGAAAGGCTAAATGATAAATGGCTCTGCCTACTTGATGACCCCTCTGAGCAATATATAATAATTATTAGATGACCTCGATAATGAATCTTGTTAATTTGCTGCATACCAAAATAAAACCCAAGGATTTTCTGTGGCCAAGCCCAAGATCTTTCATTTGGAAGGAAAAGGGCCATAACATTAGACTTAAAATGAGACCCCAGTCAGAGTTTGGAATTAAAAAAAAACATGCTGAAGCTATTAGAGACTTTTTAGAGAAGCTTTTAGAGACTGAAGAAAGTCTCAGAAGTTTCATTAGTCTTAAGTGGCAAACCACAAAAATCGTGAGAACTTAAACTACCTTTGCATTTTACAGAAATGTGCAAAGTTTGTCATTTCATTTCTTCTTTTCTTCTAGCCACATTCATCACAACTACAGTACACTATGATTCAGAGCATCCATGGGGACAGGGTGTCAAAACCATCAAAATGGCAGCTTTGATTGTTTGGTTGCAGCTGCCATTTTGATTTTTTGACACCTGGCCCTTTTCTTCCATCCTGGATATTCCTACCATGATTCTACCTCAGTGGAACCCATGTTATGCTTAAATTTCTCACTTGATAACTATTATACATACTATTATTATTTCTTTTTCTTCCTTTTTAAACCTAGAATCCTCCAATGCTCCCAAAGATCTAAGCACTGTTAATGCTTGGCATTTAACAAACCTTTCCTCTGCTAAACCCTCTAGGATTAGCTGTGGGCTGCTTTGCACAGGTGATTTAAACAAATAAACTAACAAATAGCAGTCTAATAGTTACCCAAATGGTTGAAAACACTCAAACAATTTGTTTTCTGATAAGGCTATGAGAAGGATGGTCGTGTAGCAAAAATGAGTTCCTAAAAACACGATATTCCACAGCCATCTTGCAACCTTTTTGATTTGGAGTTGTGGCTGGGGAAACAAATAGTAATAAAATATCACCAGAGCACAAACTCCACCCTAGTATACAATGATTAAGTATATGCTCCATTGGTGTATCAATGGAGAATCAGCTCTCTCAAGACACAAAGACACCTAGTCCATCCACACACATCAATATACTGGCATACAAATGAACTAAATCGTCTAATAGTTGTGAAATCAGAGGTAGGAAACTACATACTGAGCCCTTTTGTATTTCCTTCCAGAAATCTTTACAATGCAACACTGTATGGTGCTCTATGAACCTTCGGCATCTTTTAAATTTGTCCATCTGCTCTTGTTATTAGAAAACAGAGAGAAGAGGAGAAAAACAGCTTCAGAACTGAAGCATCCTTATAAGCAGCTGAAAAGAATATTCATAAAGGATTCAGAGATGAGGACAATAACAAGTTCCAGGTCATACTTTGAAAGGAACACATCTCAATGATACTGCAGAATATTTCCAATTCTTCAGTTCAGAGGAAATCTTAGTAAAGGACCTGTATATTGACTGTACCCTCAATAGCATGAATTTTGTGCCTTTTCTAAAATCATTTTCTCCCCCCCTTCCCCCCAAGACCATTTGGCTGTCTTTTTTGTGCCTGTGTAATTGCAAATAGCCCTGAGTGGCACTTTGTGATGTGCGTAGAAATACTGCTGAGTCTTTATCTACCATCCTGTTTAAGCACTTTAAAAAAAAAAACACTCTTATTCTTCAATACTTAAAGGTCATGTACCATTTGTATGAGTTTGCAGTACAGCTGGGTACATGTTCTGGTCATAGATTGGCCAGCGTTAATGAGCACTTTTTGTGGAATGACTTATAGCATCTTCATAGCATCACCCAGCCAGTGCTGAAGAAATATAAAGCTTGTTTTTATTACCGGTATGTTGGCAAAATAATGGGTGGATGACTCTAGAATATGCTATAGGTTGAGAGTGCAGAAATGACTTCAGAGGGACTAACTGTAAGATGAAGTCAGCCATAAAATATCAACAACAGTCCAGCTTTCAATTATACAGCTGCAGTCACAGAGTCCTTCTGCCTTGGATCTTGATACCTGCATTGGTAGTGATCAGGAGTGCTTTGTCGGTGTCCTATTCTGCCCACTTCATTATAAGGTGGAGCTCTGTGGCCTTGTGGTGGGGACGGTGGTACATCTTGGCGGAGAGGTCCTTTGTGCTGAATTACTGGCTGAGGTGGGAAATACTGTGAATACCATAACTCTGTTGCTCTTGGGCCATCTGGTGGATGAAGGTAGCTCCCTTTGGAGGGATGACCTGCAGGTTGGCTTGCAGGAGAGTAGGGAAGATCTCTTTCTTTGTGTGCTATCCGTAGCCCTGTTAAATATTCCATTGGTTCTACAGATCCATGCCTAGGAAGAAAAATAGAAAGGATGGGGGGGGAGAGAATATGTCAGTAAATAGTCTTGCATCAGCTTCATCTAAAATACAGCAATTGTTTTGGGCAAGAAATGTCATTTCGAATAATTTACAAAAGTCCCACAGAATAGAAACTGAAGCTCTGGACTGGTAAAACACAAAGGAAGCCAGTGGAAAAATCCAGCCTCGACATAATGCAGCTTCTTCATCAAAAGGTTCAAGCTATTCATGATTTATTTGCAAAACTGTACTGAAAGCACTTTTTTTTTGTAAGAAAGTAAAGTCTTTTTAATAAAGTATACTTGTGTCTTGTCTAGCCTGAAGATATATTGATGACTTTGGTCTGTATCTCAGCAACCCATAAGGCTCATGTATAATTCACACCTCAAAGCTGATTTGCCCATGTTCTCGCCTCAAACATGCCAGTCCATAAAACTCTTGAAGGCCCACAATTAGAAATTCCCATAAAAATATTAAAGATAAGAGGATATAGTATCTGTTTAGTGAGCTAGCTGCCAATGACATTTTTCTCTCTGTGTGTGCAGCAGCCATGTAACCTGTGGTATATGTATGATCTTGTATACGCTTCTCAACTTGCTTCCATTAATTTATATTTGACAAGATTTGGATCATTGAAAAACTCACGCCATGGACTGCCAGGGGAGAGCTGATGATGGGGTCATTCTAAAGGTTTTCTTCCCCAAATTTAGATTTATATTAAAGAGATATTCTCCCTAAAGCCAGGACAAATGATACATGGAATAAAGAAGTGTTGTATCTAGATGTCAACTCTGACATGATGAAAGTTTGACCTATTAGGAACTGTTCTCTGAAGAGTGAAATGCTTTTTCAGTTACAGAAAGAACTCTGGATGTCTTTGAACTGACTTGCTGACTGTAACATTGAAAAATCAAAGGAGTTCATGTCTTAGTGCTAGGTTTGTCAGATCCAACATGTCATATTTTCCACTCTTTCATGAACCTCACAGTGTTTCAAATGTTGTATTCTTCTGCTAAATTTGTGCAATTCATGTAATTTGTGCAATTATGTTTCATGCATTTGATCCAGTTTGCCAAAGAAAAAAGTGAAGCACTGGAGAATAGCCAAGGGAGAGCTTCTCCTAGGAGTAGAGATATTTAGAAAGCATAAGACAATTTTTTTGCATAAGCAAAAGTGAGATATTATACTTACAGATTTTTTTTCTACAAGAGGCAAGGGAGCTGTAGTGGGTGGGCAAAGATTCAAAGTGAATATGAAACAGATGGATGGAGAGACAGAAAGACAGATAATCAGCCTAAATCAATCAGCTGCAAGATGAAGGTGTCTTCACTTAACATTATGAACCATAGAGAAAGGATTTTAGACTTCCTAGAGAATGACACCAATTATCCCAAATCACCATCACTTCCATGCCTAAAAGTAGACCAGAATTTGGGTCTTCTCATTCCCAGTGCAGTACTTTAACCAATGCATCACATTGTCTTACACACACACACACACACACACACACACACACACACACACACACACACCAGTGGTGGGTTCCACTTACCTTCACTACCGGTTCGCTATCATGAACATGTGCAAGCTTTGTGCACATGGATCACTTCTGCGCATCCACATCACTTCTGCACATGCGCAGAACCTTCTGCGCATGTGCAGACCATCTGTGATGACATCTGGACGGGTGGGCAGAGCCACCCAGAGCCTGTGTGTGTGTGTGTGTGTGTGTGTGTGTCTGTCTGTCTGTCTGTCTGTCTGTCTGTCAGTGGTGGGTTCCTACCGGTTCGCACGAACCGGGACAAACTGGTAGGAACCCACCACTGAGAGACAGACAGACAGACAGACTGACAGACAGACAGACAGACAGACAGACACACACACACACACACACACACACACAGAGAGAGAGAGACAAAATTATGTTTCTTCTTAAACTAGGAAGGAAGGGAGTTTGCATGTAGTTACTTATGTTAAGTAATTTGTGGTCTTTGACTTGATGCTTGATGCAAAAGCCATGCATTGTTAGAGTTCCATCTGGATAAAAAAAAAGTACCTATTAGTTCAAGTCATCTATAACTTTGGGCTACAGAGTCATTCAAAGGAGAGCTCTACTTCTCCTTTCTAGAAAAGTGGCAGAAATATTGAGTCTCTGTTGGCAGTTTAGAATTAGCTTAAAATGGTTCTTTGATCTGGCTTTCTTGCTAGATGTGTAGGTAGAATATATATTTCCTTTTTGTTTTGTTTTGTTTTTTGCTTTGTCAGCCACAGCCATCTTGATAAAGATGGACCTGTCAGTCACGTTTTAGCTAACTCCAGTTTAGATTACTGTCACATGAAATGTGCTCCCCAAGGGAGCAGGCTTGTCATCCATGTCTTTTCAATGCTATGCTGACAATCTTATCTCAGACATTTCTATAGTGCTATTATCCCTATGATGTTGGCCGCCTGCGTTATATTGGAACAGAATCTTTTTAATGACTTTTCTGTACTATTTATTAACTATACATATTTTTTTCTTTTTAAATTACTTCAGTAACTTTGTGGTATGCTCAGAAAATTCAGCTGATGTACAACCTTAACTTAGCAGATACGATCTACAAGTCAATCAATGCAGTCAGAAATTACTCAGAAACTGTTATTAGTTCAAATGTTGCAGTTTAGTTGCTGCTGGGAAATAAGCATTTTGGCAAACTATAGCAACATAGCACATCCAAATTTAGAGCAGAGAGACCTATTCTTGACCAACAAACAAGTCAATAAATAAGCAAGGTATTGGTTAGGGTTAGGGTTAACTCAGTTCAGGATGATAAATAAAGGAAAGAAAGAACATATGCACACAATACAGGTAGTCCTTGACTTAAACCATATGTTTAATGACCATTTGAAGTTAGAATGGCAGTGAAAAAAGTGACTTATGACCATTTTTCACACTAACAACCATTGCATCTCCATAGACACATGTTCAAAATTCAGATGCTTGGCCACTGGCTAATATTTATGATGGTTGCTGTTTTCCAGACTCATGTGATCACCTTTTGCAACCTTCTTAACAAGCAAAGTCAATGGGGAAGCCAGATTCACTTTGCAACCGTGTTACTAACTTAACAACTAGCAGTGATTCACTTAACAATTGTGGCAAGAAAGATAATAAAATGGGACCAAATTCACTTAACAACAAGGACTACCTGTAGTCCCTTCTTGATCTAATGCTACTTTCAATCATAAAGAAAGTATCCTGAATTAGGGGATAGAAAGAGAACCGATTGTCTTGAAACGTGGTTGCAGTAGTACAGGTGGCAGCAGTAGTTCCCACCACACATGTTGGCTTGTAGTCCATTCAGCATCTCTGAGGGTGGCTTTATACCTTCAACACTTGGTCTGGAGTCTCTCACAGCAAACAGGGAGGGCCTGTCTTTTATAATGTTCTGTTTTTAAAGTGAAGAATCTCATGGGAGTACAGGAGCCCTGAAAGTCCAAGGCCTGGAATTTTTCCTCTTTCTCTTTCCACTTTAAACAGGAAACATTTGCACTAAGCAATTCCAGTGGGAGAACGCAGGTTCATTTCAAGGCAGATAATGTTTGCGTGTTGCTTATGTTTGGTGATTTATCCTATGGGCTTAAATGAGTCCAGCAGGAAGAAAAAACACACATTATGTTTCATGTCATGTAAAACAATGCTTGGTGAGTCTGGAGCACAGCACAGACACGAATCACTAGACAAATAAGATGAGGGTCAGAAATGTGCAATTTTAGATAAGAGTAGAATGATCAGCAATTTGCTTCTTCTTTTTTAAAGTTATTATTTTGGCATGCCAGAACATGGCATTTAAAAGTGCTGAGCAACAAAAGTAGGTTATCATGGTTTTAACTCAGACTGGTTAGTGCAGGAAGCTGGAGGAATTTCATATACTCCTAGAGTCTTAGCAGGTAGGGAAGATTATGAGATCTTGTAACTATATGAATGAAGCATTAAATGTTGCCTCACTTTTTGATGAAATGAACTAAGCAACAAAAGAGACTGAAACTAGATGGAATACCCCCAGGATGGACTTTGTACTCCTTTTTTTTGAAGGGCTTTATCTAAATTGTAGTGAGAGTCTGAATATCTAGAATGATCAGCCTGAAACAATAAATGTGGTGATGTAGCTACTTTAGCTAATTTGAGTAAAATAAAGTTCTCTTAATTTTGTTGGACTGACAATATTGTTAGTATTTTCTTTGCTTTGCTTTCCCCCCCACTCCGTTTTTTTCTTTGTGTGTGTAGAAAATGATGACTTTAGGGGAATTTTATCTGGTCTTAAAAAAGTGGAGATAGTTCATAGAATAAGACAAAAATAAGATAGAAATACACATACTGGCCCTAATTGAAGTCTCATGACTAATCCGGAGAACAAGTGGAAAAAATGTTGCTAACACAAACCTACTATTTGTTGTGTTAAGAAGGTGATTTACAGAAGTGACTTTGATGGACTGTTTTGAGTGCAGGCTGTGGAAAAAGGGAAAAAGGATTTTAATTAGGGTGTTTTTGAAATAAACATACAGAGTGTTATTTCTGTTACTCTTGGGGAGAGATGAAGCACTATTCAGGATATTAACCCTCTTCTATCCTCCCTAATTTTTATATACTAATATAAAAGTACTAATGTACTAATTAGAGGACTAATTTTTTAAAAGGTTGTTAGAAGAAATAGTAAAAATTATTGCCAGAGTTCTAAAGACTTTGAAATCTTGCCAAGGCAGCCCCCAACAGCCACAACTGGGCTAAATTATATGTTTATATTGAAATATAATTCCTTTTTGTGTAAAGTTGTGAATATAGAAACTAAGCTGCTGTTTCAAAAAATGTCACAAAATCACGTTGGTGCTGAAATGGGCTTCTTTTCATATATGCAGTCTGTAGTTGTCATTTGTTTTCAAGTTGTGCATTTTCTTTTCTTATTGATGGTGGTCAGCAATGTGGAAGGGTTGAGAAAAGTGCACATGATAATAT